CCACCACCACACGCATGGCCACCCGAGGCCCTCTTTACACGGACAAAATCGCCAACGGATCCCCGTCCGAGTGGAGCTCATCAATGCTCACCGATACGCATCGATGAACGTTGGTGACCTCCACTAGGATGGGGGTCTGCTCGCTGTTTGTTCGTGTAACGAGGGCCTTGGAGTCGAAGGTGCGTCTTGACAGTTCGTCCGACTGCCGGATGGAGGGTACGTCAAACAGCCCCCCCGGGCGCTCTGTCGGATGACAAAGCGCCCGGCGGATTGCTTGACAGACCATCCGCCCGATAGTCGGATGAACCATGGAGATGCACCCTCGGCTTGNCCCAAAAAAAAAAAAGCCTCCATCACCGCCACCAGCATGCACTACTAGACTACTATGCTTTACTCCACTACCATGCACTACTAAACTACTATGCTTTACTGCACTACCATGCACTACTAGACTACTATGCTTTACTAGACTACCATGCACCACCTCCACAATTACAGGGCGTCCGGAAATTAAGGTACTTAATTTTCCGGATCGATTTTTCGGCTCAAAATATGACTATTTTCTCCTATGCACATGCACCCGAAAACGCTTCATACGTGAGCTATGCGCTTCCAAAGTTGGCATTTTTATTTCTTTCAAAATGATTTAACTTCTCGTTGTTAAGTAATAAGTGCCTGAAACTGTAAGTCTGGGGGGTATTTTACAGCGTACTATTCATTTTCCGTGTTTTCAAGGACGCACGTCTTCGGAAAATGACGTTCCGAGGTTTCCCCAATTTTAAAATTGCGATAACTTTTATGGTAGATGATATGTGGAAAAACGGGTTACGGCAAGTGAGTGAGCGCGAAAAATCAATGCTCCGAAGCACTGCACAAATTTTCCAAGTACGCGTCATTTCGACGTAACAGAGCAATGAAAAAGTTTCATATTTTCAAATCTCCTTGCCTGGTAGGCAATTTTCACTGCAGTGGCTGTCAGAAAAATTGCCTCCCGAGAAGTGGGCTTCAAAAATCCCGAAGCTAACGCGGCTTTTCGAATTTTCGAAGTCCACTTCTCAGGAGGCAATTTTTCTGACAGTCCCTGTAGTGAAAATTGCCTACCCGGCAAGGAGATTTGAAAATATGAAACTTTTTCATTGCTCTGTTGCATCGAAATGGAAAATTTGTGCATTGCTTGGGAGCATTGATTTTTCGCGCTCTCTTACGTGCTGTAATCCATTTTTCCAAATATCATCTACCATAAAAGTTATCGCAATTTTAAAATTGGGGGAACTCTCGGAACGTCAGTTGCTGAAGACGTGCGTTCTTAAAAACACAAACGAGAAAGTAAAACAGTACGTTAAAAAATTCCTCCAAACTCACAGTTGCAGCCACTCACGACAAAACAACGAAGAGTTACATCAATTTGAAAGAAAAATATGCCAACTTTGGAAGCGCATCTAGCTCACTTGTGAAGGGTTTTCAGATATACGTGTATAGGAAAAATAGTCATATGTTGAGCCGCAAAATCGATCCTGAAAGTGCGTTAACCTCCGGACACCCTGTAGAGAGGAAGTGGAGAAAAAGGCAGAAAAAAGAGAAAAAAGAGAGAAAAGGAAGAGAAAAGAGAGAAATAAGAAAGAATAAAGAGAAGAAAGAGAGAATAAAGAGAAAAAAGAGAGAATAAAGAGAAAAGAGAGAGAAGAGGAAGAAAAGGAAGAGAAGGAAGAAAGCAGAAAAAGAGGAATGGAAGAGAACTGAGAAAGAAGAGAAGAAAACAGAGAAAAGAGCTGAACAAGGAAGGAAATTGAAATTAAAGAAATAAAACAGTAAGATGGAGAAGGAGAGAAAAAAGGAAATAAGGAAGAAAACGGAGGGGAAAAGGAAAAAAATTGAGATAAAAGGAAGAAAACATAAAAAAATAAGTAAGGTAGAAAACAAGGAGTAGAGGAATTGAGGAAGATGATTGGAGGGAGATTACACCTGCTAGGTTGTTACAGAGACAACCCAAATGTTAGGAGCTGTTGCGATGAATCAGCAGAACTTCAAGGACTGAAGAAAAATCTAAATGGAAGTACTTGGGTGGTAAGCCGTGAGAGAGGAGCACGATAAGAAGAAAAGGATGAATGAAAAAACGGGCAAGAATCCTGAATTTTGGAAACAGTGGATACCTGACCTGACCTAATCTTAATCACACTTGGAGCATCTGAAAGTGGTCATTATTACACATTATGGTTTTAAGTGGAGATATTGCAATTTTGTGAAATAAAACAATCTGCGAAAAGTCATAACTCCGGACGCTAAGAAGATTTCATGACACTTCCCCTGGAGGCGATCTACGACATAGCACGCCACCAATTCTTCCATTTTCATTGTTACCTAGTTATGAAATTCATGATCTTCTTTTGATCGAAAGTTCTTTCCCCCTCTCCACTACCTGCCTCACTGGATGGTAGATAGGCGGCTTTCGAATTCAACTAAAAGTAAAAGCACTACTTCGCCTTGCTTAGGAAAAACGCAGTTTCTGAAATCTTGGATTTTCTGAGAAACACAGGGATGCATTCTTCCTATTTTTCGGAGAATTTCGTTCGCAATTTATATGCAATTAAAGGAGCTGAGAATCTCGAGAAAAATATCTATAAACTTCACTCACAATTAGCTATTTTAGAGACTTCGAAGTGCTTTTTGTCTTAAATATGTATCCACGGGTTTTGGTGAACTCATGATTCAAAAAGAAGAGTCTTAGTGGAAAATTGCCACTTTCTTTCATTGTTGTGGGAGGGGAGGAGGGGGGGGGCAAAGAGAAAACAAGATTCGAAATTATAATTGCGGGCCAATTGGCACTCCTTACTTTCACGAGTCGTCTCTGATTGGCTGATCCGTCTGGTGCCCACTTTTTGGGGCCCTTATGGAAAATAACATTGGGTTCATTTTTCCTTGAAAATACCTCGAAAATTAGGGAGACTTTATCCGTCGGAGATTTCAGAAATAGACTCTCCAAATTTTTCTAAAGTGATTGATGGGTAATATATGACGCTTTTTTTCTCAAACATTGCGAACAATTCGACCTGGTATTTTGTTTATTTATTAAATTGCCAATTAGGTACATATAAATTGCGAAAAAAATTCTCTGAAAAATTGGAAGACTTTATCCCAATGTTTCTTAGAAAATCCAATTTTCATTAATAGGATTTTCTCCTGAGCAAGACAAATCAATGCTTTGACTCATAGTGGAATCCGAAAGCCGCTTATCGACATCTACCGTCCAGTAAGGCAGGGAAGGGAGAGGGGTAAAGTACTAGAACCGGTCAGGGGAGGATCATGAATTTGACGACTGAAACAGCGAGAGAGGAGGAAGCGGTAACGGGCGACAAAAGAACGAGAGTTGAGAATTGAGTCGACACTTTTCTGAAAAACGTTTGCTGAAGAAGAGGGGAGGAAGTATGAGTTCGACTGAAAAAGACACGATGCGGGCCGATGCGGCACACTGTCAAAAGGCAAAAGTGAGTTGATGGGAGAAAAGAGTGAGAGATAAGAATCGGTTGGATGAAATCGGCTGAAATATTGGGGAGAGCCTAGAATTCGGAGAAAAGAGGTGCCAGCCTGTCGGCCAGACCAGGGACGCAGACATCCGGTGGGTCGCTGGTTACGTGAGGTGAGCAAAGATAAGCCGCCTGCCGCCCGCCCTACCGCCGCCAATTCATTTCCCTGCCGATCGGCCGATCCTGATCAAAACTGTGGTACACTTCAATGTTGCCTAATCAACCTTTCATTCAATTCTGGCGGGAAACTCTCTTGGTGTACCTATGCTGAAACGAGTCCCATTGGATTAGGGCGGGAAACATACTTTGAGTACCTACCTATGCTGAAACAAAGCTTCTCATGTTTCATCAGCTCTCTCTATATTACTTTGATCTAATTATTGATCTGGTACAAGGCGTTCGAAATTTTCCGCCTTAAGTAATTGCTGTAGTCGAAAAATGCACAAATCTCTGATTAAGGCTGATTGACTAATCTCGTTAGCGGTGTTTCAAAATCTCGGCTACTATTTAATTTCTTTCAGCGAGAACAAATTGACAATTTTCCTAGAAGTTTTATTTTCAGAATTCTCCTCGCACAAAGAAGAGAATCCATGGGAGATTTTAAACAATGTTGTCGAGTCGTTTTCCAATTAAAAAATAAAATACGACAGGCTGTCTGCAACATCGCAAACCGAAATACGTGGTTAGGGAGTTTCCTCTATGAAAAAGCTGACAAAAATACAAATAGCCTAGGTTATCGTGAGCAGAATTGCCACGTAATTTGAGAAACATGGGTACAACCAGTTTCTTGGACAAATGGTGGAGTTTCCTACTGTTGAGGATAAGCGGGATGGATAAGGAGACATGCTAAACTTGAAATAATTTTCGCGGAAAGTTGGTTTCAGCGTCAAACGACAAGGGCAATCAAGGTGAAAACTGACCCATTTTTCCGACAGTTTTGGATGGTTTCCTCTGCCTGGAGTAGAATGAATTTTAAAAAGAGGACATGTGAATTTTCTCAAAATTCTCTAAAAAAACCGAAAGACTCTTATTCCCTGCAACTCGAGGAAACTTCTACCTTCAAAAAAAGGGCCAATGGAAGCATTGATAATAGGCACTGGATCAATCGAATATTTGTCATGCGGTTTTCCTCGCTCCAAAAATGATAGTACGATGTACTGCACAGAAAATCCCTGAAGGGAAATAAGAAATTTCCTACTCGGCATCGCTAAAGTACGAATCAAAAATTTAAACGTCGACCACTGCAGCTGCTTCGCCAATTCAACTACATTCGTCAAGTGTACCAGAATTTTCGATGGGAAACTTTCAAATCCACGCTAAGACAAAAAGGAGGAGGGAAAGAACAAATAAACAAAAGAGGAAATACCTAAATTAAGATTCAATTCAATAAGTCAAACACGTTGAGACATTAACAGTGATAAATTATTCAATAAATGGGCAGAATTTAAATCAGAAGTATGTACGAAATGTATCTCAAACCTTGATCCAGAACCAGCCAAACCATGTAGTAACAGAGGTAATTGCATGGGCCAAATTTTCAATCCAAATCAGGAACACGAGATAATGTCCAAAGTCCAGAAACACACGACCGAATCGCGACATTCAAGAATCGTTCACACATTTACGAAATTTCACGCACCATGAGTCAATTTCACGAGGAGATTGAAGGCGAGATCAAAAGTGTACATATCAAGTTCCGTTTAAACACGAATCGTTCATACATGTGCTGAAAATTATCGTCACGGCAAGATTACAAGCGAAACTTTTCACGGGAAACACATCAAATTCCGACCACACACTTTCACGAAACCGCCGCGGAGAAAGGAAACCAATTCTGCCGGTTCGTTCCGATCGCTTACTCTTCACGAAACGCGACACGATTCCTTCGAAATCTCATCGAAAATTCGTAGGGAAGACTAGTACGATGTTTGAAAAGCGAAATACTCAAGAATAGATGTGAAAGGAGAGAGATTTTAGCAGCAAAATGTGTGAAAACGGTTGAGCGACACGCGACGACCACGGGAGCACGCGACTACGCCGGCGGCGTTCTCTCGGCAACTGATTTTCTGGAAGGAGCAGGGATCCAAGATGGCGGGGTGCTGGCGGCAGCGACGGGGGGAGGGGAAGATTTTCTGTAAGCTCGACAGACCTTCCCCGGTACCAACAGGTTGAACCATGTTCGCTTTATCTCTCCTTTGCACAGAATTTAGAAATCGTTTCTGCCGGGCCGATTTTTATTCATACATCCGGTGGTGGAATTGTCGGTTCCTGACGAATTTGAAGCGCTGAAACTGAATTTGAGCTCAGATTTCCTCTGGGAAGTCATCTTTGGAAGTTATCTCTTTCATAAAACAAGGACAACGAGAATCACAAAAACTAACGCAGTTACTGAGTTAATGTCAGGCATGCATATCGATGGCTGTTCATTGTTTCAAAATGCATAGCTTAATTTCCACTTTTTGAATCCTCCGCTAAGATTTCATAACTTTTAAAGAATATAAAGGACAAAAATTATTCTAATTTCTTTGTGGACATTTCGATCGGAGGACAAAATTCCATAAAAATTTTCAAAGAAACTGATACTTATATTAGCTGGTTTTCTTCTAGATAACTAGATGTGAGCAGATCACTGCAACGTCTCAATCGAAATTATTAATATTTTTTTTATTATTTCTTTGATTTTTCCCGCGGCAGCCTTCCTGTCATACTTCATTTTTTCTCTCTTAAACTAGCCAACGATATTTCTTGAAAATGTCCTTTATTTTTCTTCTCTGTCAACAAAACATTCTTTATGGATTTCAAGCTAACACTCTAGCTTGATCCTCTTCAACAAAATAAAACAGCAGCAGAAATTTTGAAACGCTGCGATTAAGTAGGTGGTTTGTATGTACTTCGGCCATCGATACTATGATACTCCACGTAATGTTCCGTTCAAATTGTGCTTATTTCTTACCTGGAGGACCAAATATCCAAATATTACGTGAGAAATTTTGGCTACTTACTGACACA